CCGGCCTGGGCCTTCTCTGGAGTCTCGCCTGAAGCCATCAGGGCAGGGTGAGGGCCAGGGCTCGCGGCCACCCTGCCTGCCCCTCGGGAGGCCCGGCGTGGGCATTCAGAGCCGTGAGATGGCTCCCGAGCCCCTCTCGGGCACGTCCAGGGCCCACGTCCCCTGGACGCAGGTGCCTAAGGGGACAGGGAGCGCCGAGCAGTGTGCGAGCCTGTCGCCGCGGGGCCCGCCCCCCTCTTTGTGCCTGGTCTGAGGCTTCGGCTCCGGCCCTGGCCCCCCTCGCCCGGCCTCCTGCCGCTGCTCTTGGGGCACCTGCCGCCTGGGCACCCGCATGTGGGCCTCGGCTCTGCCCCGGCCTCCCCGCTGCCCCGCCCCGGTGGCCCGGAACCCGCTCAGGTTTCTCCAGCCCCAGACAAACCTGATCCCTGGTGCTGCCTGAAATAGCTCGGGTCGCCTTTCCGCGAAGGACACCCGCACCCCGTGTCTGGCCCAGCTCGCCTGTGGTCAGGTTTCTGCCCCCCGACCGGCCACCTGTCCCCGGGAGAGTCCTTTGTGCGGACTTGCCCCGGGCCGGAGTCTGTGTGCAAACCTGTGTGGTGGTGTTAGAGCCGGGCAGCCTTTGAGCGACCACCCTGCTCTGCCCACCACCCCGCTGTCCCCAGCCGGGCCCTGAGTGCCGGTGGCCCTGGCCGGACTCTGCCCGGGCCGGCCGCGTCTGCCCACTCGGCCTCCACTGAGCAGGTGCTGAGGACGGGCCCTGCCCGGGCCTGGCCCCACCGCGTCTGCCCACTCGGCCTCCGCAGGTCCGCCCGCCCCTCCCCAGTCCCACCTTCCCGGCCGTCTGCTGGGCCCGGGGCCTCGGGCCGGCGACCCCCTCCCAGGTGCACCCCGAGCCGAGTCCCCGCGGAGCCCTCTCGGGCGCCCCCGTCGCTGCAGAGGAGGCTGGGCGGCCACGTGGGACGGCACAGCCCCGTGGCCGGTCTGGCCCCCAGACGGCCTGCAGGTGGGCCGCGCGGCGTGAGCCAGGGCGCCACGCCGGGAGCACACGAGCCTCCGGGGAGGCGCCTGGCCCGGTCACGCCGAGGGAACCGCTGCCCGCGCCTGTCGCCGGGCCCTGTCGGCACACGCTACGCAGCTGTCGACCGGCAGTTTCTGGACAGAAAAGGAAAAGCCCTGGCAATGAGGGTGTCGGCGCTGACTGGCGCCTCGACCTCCCTCCTCCGTGTGACGTGGCACCGCACCGTCCCGAGCACCCTCGCTTCCCGGCGGCTTCCCGGCGGCTTCCCGGCGCGCTGCTCCTGCAGAAGGGGCTGCCAGCGGGAGCCCTCTGTCTCCCGAGCCGGAGGGCGAGCCCGGAGATGAGACCCCGGGGATACAGACTCCGGGGAGCCCCCTTGGCTTTTCTAAATGAAAAGCAAAGCCCAGGTGGGACTCCCAGGGCGAGAGGACTCAGGGACGGCTGTCGCCTTGATCCAGCTGTTGCTTAATACACGACCGCACACCTGCCCTTACCCCCAAAGCAGCACCGAGGGCCCTCTGCTGGCCTTAAGCTGGCCACCAGCTTTTCCTTAGACTGCTAACACCGCTGGCGCGACTTACTTGCCCCCCAAGACCCGACAGCCCTTTGCCAACGAGCTCACCCTCCCCAGGCCCCCCCTTGAGTGACAGCTGGACAGCTTGCGCGTGCCAGTTAGCGCAAACGTGTGATCGGCGCACCCTAAGATGTTACCGAAAAAATGCTTTGTTCCCCCGTCCTGAGAACGCTGGTGACGGCTCCGGCGCTCGTGAGCGCGACCTGTAGGGACTGCCACTCAGCACCTGCTGCACCGAGTAGGCACCGGCTGAGGGAACGCGGGACTCACCGGCCCTGACTCCGCCCGCCCCCCGCCCCTCCCCTCACCGACGCCTTCCCGCCTTAGGGCCATGCCCGTCTCGCCCCCCCGACACCTCGATATGGGGCTGGTCCCCAACACTGCTCCGGGCTGGCAGTGGCGCGGAGGGGCCCGGGGCACCGGGCTCGGCCCATCCAGTTGAAGGTCAAGTGCAGGGAGGGCGGGTGCCAGGCCCGAAGGGGGGGTCTGCCGCCGACCTGGGGTGTGGAGGGCGCAGGCTGCCGCCATTTGGTGCTCGGGGAGAGCTGCGGCTCCCTCCCGCAGTCCTGGGCCCAGCAGCACCCGGAGCGGCGGCCATCGCGGGGATGCGAGGGTCAAGCCACACGCCCACCGGCCCTTCCCCAGCGGCGTCCAGAACGGCATCGACACCCCCAGGACGCCTCGCGAGTCATTCCCGTAAGTGACAGCTGCCTGTGGGGTTTTCCGACGCTGTCCTGTGTTTATTGCAGCACTGTTTATGATAGTAAAACCTGAAAACAACTTAAATGCCCAAAAGCAGACTGTTCACGGAAGCGGTGTATACACTGCGGAATACTATACAGCGGTGAAAAGGCAAAGGGCCGCCATTTGCAGCCACAGGGATGGAGCTACACAGAATTATGCTCAATGAAATAAGTCAGAAGGAAAAGAAAGCTGGACGGGGTCACTCGTGGGAGGAGCACAAGGGAACTTCCCGCCTGGGGGCCGCTCACCCGCATGGCAGTGGCAGTCGGCTCCTGCCGGAGGGCAGGTGGCGGGTGAGTGCCAGAGCTCAGGCCCAGCCCTTGTCTACAGCGGCTCTGAGGGTCCATCCCACAGTGGCATGCGGCCGTGGCCCTGGTGTCCGTCCTGAGACCCGCCAGCTGGGCCTGTCCACCCACAGTGGGCAGCGTCCTCGCCCCCCCATCTTGCTCACGCGGCCACTGGCGTCCCTGGGAGCTACAGGCGGACGCCTGGAGTGGGGGCAGACTGGCGGCGTCTCAGAATCACGTTTCCACCAACAGAGGCCCCGCTTCCCTGTGCCGCCCCGGCTCAGCTGCCCTGTGGCACCCTAGGGTGCTCTGGGAGGCGTCGTGCGGGGGTGCCCCAAAGTGCCGTGCAGGAGAGAGCCGCCTGGGCTGTGCCCAGCCTGCGGGGTGGCCGGCTCGGAAGGGCCAGGTGGAATTTCACCTCTGGGCACGGGGCCTGGGGAGAAGGCGAGGCTGTGTCCATGCCGGGCGGGCGCCCCGCTCTGGGCTTCTGAGTCAGGACTCACTGCTGGCCGTAGCCGTCCGTGGCAGGGGCCAGGGGCTGGGCCGGCTGGGCCTGGGGGGCAGCGCCGGGTGTGGTGGGGCGCCTGGGCCGGGCAGGGCTGCAGTCTCGGGCTGCCAGGAGCTGGAGCTGCGCCCGCCGGCCGGCGGCTCTGCTTTGGGCTCCCCGCACCTGCCAGGCAGGCAGCCCCGAGATGGGCGAGACCTGTGGGGGGCTCCCCTCCTGCCTGTGGCCGGCCTGGCTACCCCCG